GAAGAAGAGAGGATCGCTATTTGGAAGGTTGGATTTGAGGTTCAAACTCCAGGAGCAGTCCTAGTTTATGTCTAACGTCTCCACTTTCCCCTCTCTAGCGCCGCCGACTTTGATCTCTTCGCTGTTGGGTTGAGCGGGTCACCCGCGCACCCACCCACAACCCACCCACCACCCGGCGGATGGCTCCCAGCGCAACCCGTCACCCACCCATAGATCCACCCACTTAACGAAATTTAGGTCAAATGCGGGTGGGTCGGCCCAAACCCGCGGATGATCCGCCCGCATGCCCAGCCCTACCTGCTGTTGGTAGGTCAGTTGGCTTAGCAGTAGCTTGTTCTCCTAGTGTCCTTTGTCGTGTCGTCGCCGAGTCCTCTGCATATCTATTTGTTGAATGTCAACATGTAGTTTGGGGTATTATGTCCTTTATTTTCGTTCATTTGCACTATGATGTACAGTTTAGGGTTGATCAGTTTAATGAAATCCTTTCTTTGGTCTTGTCTTGTGCTTCTCCCATTGTCGTTATATGTGATTTTAATTGTCTCTTGTTTGCTTCGGAGAAACAGGGAGGTCGAATTCCATCTTTCCAAGCCATGGAACACTTTCGGGCATTTCTTAACTCTTCGGGCCTCATAGACTTGGTATTCAAGGGATCGCCTTTCACCTGGTCAAATCGGCAGGGCGCGAATACTCATATCATGGAGAGACTTGATAGGGGTCTTGCTAATGAGAACTTGCTTGATGTTTGGCCATCTTTGCAGGTGTGTCACCTCACCGATCTTGGCTCGGATCATCGCATGTTGCTGCTCCAATTCACCCCGAGTACTGGCAAGGGAAAGTCTCGGTTCCACTTTGACCGAAGATGGTGCGGTAATGAAGAAGCGCGAGGGATAATAGCGCAAGGGTGGCAGACGTTTTTTGCAGGAACTCCTCAATTCCAGCTGTACTCGGCTTTGAAGGCCACCCGACATCAGTTGGTAGCTTGGGCGAGTAAGGGCACAACGAATTCTGCTCGTCAGATCCGTGGGTTCAGGGCTGCCATCGAAGCTGAGCGAGAACGAGAAACTATTGATTGGGAGACGATCAAGCAGCTAGAAGTGCAGCTCTCTGAGGCATATCGACAAGAGGAATCCTACTGGATTCAGAAATCGCGGATTGAGTGGCTTCAAAAAGCAGACTCCAACACCGGATTTTTCCATGCCAAAGTTCGTCAGACTAGGAGGTTGAACCGGATTGAGATTCTTCGGGATGAGAATGGTGGGGTGCACTATGACGAGGATAGCAAGGGATCGGTGGCTGTTTCTTTTTACCAGCAGCTCTTCCTGTCTTCTGCAATTCCTCCTCACTTCTTCATCAGCGCGATCGGGCTCTCCCGTAAGGTCTCGACTGAGCAGAATCTGCTTCTCACTGCTCAAGTGACACCGGAGGAGATTAAAGAGGCTGTATTCAATATCGGACCGAATCAAGCGCCTGGTTCGGATGGGTTTACGGCTGCTTTTTTCCAGTCGTCTTGGGAGGTTATAGGGCAGTCAGTTCTGGCAGCAGCCTTGTCTTTCTTCAGATCAGGTAGACTCCTTCATAACTTTAATCACACCCTTCTCACGCTGATTCCGAAGGTGCCGAATGCGGATCTCATGAAGCAAATGAGGCCTATAGGGTTGTGTCAGGTGTTCTATAAGGTTATTGCCAAAGTTTTGGCGGTAAGGCTGAATCAAATCTTGCCGAAGATCATTAGTGAGGCTCAGAATGGTTTTGTGAAAGGTAGAGACATTTCGGATAATATTCTTATAGCCCAAGAAGTCATGCAATTTCTCGAGACTAAGACACAGGGCCGGGATAAGTGGATGGCAGTGAAACTCGACATGGAAAAAGCGTATGACCGGGTGGAATGGGGATTTCTATTTGCAGTAATGGAAACGCTGGGCTTTGACAATCAGTGGCTTAAGTGGATGAAAGCTTGTGTCACCTCAGTTTCATTCTCTCTTATTCTGAATGGGACGGAACATGGCTGCTTTAGGCCACAGCGGGGAATTCGGCAGGGTGATCCCTTATCCCCCCTGCTGTTTGCCGTTTATTCTGAAGCCTTTTCATCGATGATAGATGCTGCGATATCCTCCAATCAACTCCATGGATTAAAAGTGCATCGTCGTGCCCCTACCGTATCGCACTTGCTATTCGCCGATGACTCATACCTTTTCTTGCGGGCATCATCAGCTGAGTGTTCCTCTCTTCTTCATCTCCTCGGGCTATATGAACAGGCAAGTGGCGCGAAGGTCAATCTTTCTAAGTCCTCTGTCTATTTCAGCGCTAATGTCACGGACCAGGAGGTCATTCTTTTGGCTGGGCAGCTTGGGATCTCGGCTGTCGGGCCGTTAGATAAGTATCTCGGACTCCCTGCCCAGATCCAGCGGTCCAAGGTGTTAACCTTCCAGTATGTCGAAGATGCTCTTGCAGGTAGGATCCGAAGCTGGAAGTCCAAGGGCTTGTCACTGGCAGCTAAGGAAGTGATGATTAAGGCAGTGGGATCGGCTACTCCGGTGTATTCGATGTTATCTTTCAGGCTGCCCTCCACTTGTTGTCGTCGACTAAATAGCCAGGTGTCCCGGTTTTGGTGGGCGGGGCAAGACAAAGAGAGGGGTATCCCATGGATCTCGTGGCCGGCGGTGTGCACAAGTAAATTTGAGGGAGGTCTCGGATTCAAAGATTTTGATCTGTTTAATATAGCTATGCTCGCCAAGCAAGCATGGAAGCTCGTTCAGGATCCCTCGTCCTCCTTGGCTCGCATTTATAGAGCTCGATATCATCACAATTGCTCATTCCTCAAGGCGCCAGTAGGCTCTCGCCCTTCCTGGGCATGGCAGGGAATCCTTGAAGGTCGGAAATTGTTAGTCAAGGGTATCCGATGGCAGGTGGGCTGTGGGACAGCGATTGACATCTTACAAGATCCATGGCTCCCGTCTTCTCCTCCGTCTGTCCCGAAGCTCCTGGATGGTGTCTCCCTCGCGAATCCATATGTGGCATCCCTTATTCATCCTTTGACAAGAACTTGGAATTATGATCTGTTATGCAGCCTTTTTGACATGGAAAGTGTGAAGTGGATCTTGTCTATTCCGCTGCCTTCTTCCCCAATTCCGGACAAGATCATTTGGCATTATTCGACTTTAGGAATTTACACTGTCAAGTCAGGCTACCAGCTACTATCGGCGGCGAGATCCGCATCTTTTGCTCCAGCCTCGCCTCATCTGGACACCAAGTTTTGGAAGTTAATGTGGAACCTCCCCATACCGCCAAAGTTGAAATTCTTTTTGTGGAGGCTTGTTCGCTGGTTCCTCCCGATGCGTGCTGTGTTGAAGCATAAAACTCTTTGTGATGATGATATTTGTCCAGTTTGTTCTGAGACAGCTGAGTCTATATCCCATTGCTTTTTCAATTGCAGGATCGCTCGTGGTCTGTGGGAGCTCTCCGGGAAGGACCACATTCGCCAGGCTGTTTGCAGCCTTCCCCCAGATGGTGCGTGGCGGCAGATTTGTTTTGGGTTGCAGCTGTCTAAAATGCAGGTCGCGGAATTAGTCTTCATCTCTTGGAGACTGTGGAAAGCCAGGTGCTGGACAGCATATGATCACGTACAATTTCTGCCGTCTGCATTGCATCGACAGTAGGGATGGCAATGGGTCGGGTTGGGTCGGGTTTTGCCAAACCCAAACCTAAACCCATGGGTTTATCTTTGAAAAAAACCCGGGGTAAAACCCACTGGGTTTGAAAAACTCAAACCCAACCCAACCCGTTGGGTATCCGCGGGTTCATGGGTACCCACGGGTTTTGTCGTAAAAAATTTACAATTACAAGTTATTATCAAAATTAAAGTCAAATATCAATCTCTCAATCCAAATTATCCATATATAAAACACCATTCTAGAAAATTCAAGCAAATCACAAATTAACTATACAAATTGTTGAACACCAATCTAGAAAACTCAAGAAAATTGAAGCAAATCACAAATTATCCATAAATAACATGTTTAATTGAAAGCTTCTTCCTTTCAATTAAGTTTATTTACTCTCCACTCCATAAAATCAACTTCATTCTACACAATTAAAAAGAAAAAATTAGACATGTCTCCACAAACATAAATAAGATTAGTTGTTTAGAATATTAAATATACCAAAAAAATTAATTATATGGGTGGGCGGGTACCCACGGGCCGGGTTTACCTAAACCCAAACCCAACCCAACCCGGTGAATAGTGAACGGGTTTAAACCCAAACCCGACCCAAAACCCGTCAACACGGATTTTACCCGCGTTGACCGGGTTGGGTCGGGTGGGTACCCGTGGGTTCGGGTTTTGTTGCCATCCCTAATCGACAGTTTGCTTCTCAGGTCAGTGAGTGGTCAGCAGCAACTGGGAATGTGGGAACCAATAGTACAGCTGGTCGGCAACAAGTCAGGCAGCCGCCGCCGGTTGTTTGTCCCCCAGGTGGTCTCTTGGTCCGGTTTGATGGCGCATTCCGCAACGACGTTGGAGGTAGCACAGGGTTCGTGGGATTTGCGGCGGACTCGTCACTAGTATGTGCCTATGGGAAGTATTACACAGATTTGGCTGATCCTTTCCTTTCTGAACTCCTCGCCCTCCGGGATGCAATGGTATGGTGCTTACTTCATGGGTTTTCTAATGTTTGTTTCTGTGGTGATTCACAACTGGTGATCCGGCGTGCGGCGGCGAATGATGTGCATCATGAGTCGGGTGGGGCGATCCTTGAGGAAGTGCGGCTCCTGAAGTCAAGCTTCCAGTTCACTTCTTTTGTTTTTGCTCCTCGTAGGACTAACAGGGCTGCCCATTTAGTGGCAAAAACGGCCCTTGCATCGGTAGCTCGACAATCGGTCGACTACCGCTATTTACTTTTCCACCATTTGTAATCAGCTGTCTATCTACGATCTATCTATGGCAAAAAAAAAAAACAAAAAAAAAAGGAAAAATTAGAAGAACGAGAGGAGAGTTGGGTGTGGGAAAGGAAAGCAGCCTTTTGTCTCCTAGTTTCCATCCGTCCATCCGTTCCCAATTCCAATTTAACGAAGAGAGAGGGCGAGTCGCGAGAGGTAAACGACGACAGGTGCCGAGCCGGACTGCTGCTCTGCTTGGCGCTGATAATTCCGCCGGACGGACAGCCCCCTTTTATCCAATTCTTGTAATAATTACATAAGTCAATTAGTAGTTCCCACTTCATTTCCTCTTCTCTCGTCCTCCGCCGTCGAAGCCGTGACAATTCCACCGATCGGAAGCCCAACGGTGATATAGAAGCTCTAAGGTGATCATCCTGATCCCTCTTATCTTCCAATTCTCCCTCGCGTTCGAAATCCAACCCCCCTACGGCGTTCAATTTTGGGGGTTGATCGAATTTTTAGGGCTCTTTTTTCTCCTGTTGGAATTGAGGGTTCCTTGTTCTTGATCATCGGGGTCCAGAATCAGGTCTTCATTTTGGTGGAATTGGGGTTTGGAATTTCTGCGAATTAGCTGTAAATTCAACCGCTTTTTTTCTATTTCCAGCTTTCATTGACATTGTCATGCTTCATTAGTTTCCTCTTCAAATTGGATCGATGATTGATTATTAGTTTCAATGAACTTGGGTTTTGAAGGCAGAGAAGATGGCATCTTCTTCAGACGCGTGGATGAAGGAGTATAATGAAGCGGCAAAGCTTGCGGATGATATTACTGGGATGATATCTTCTCTCCCTTCATCTGGACCTGAAAGTCAACGTCATGCTTCTGCTGCTCGCAGGAAGATCACCATATTGGGTACCCGACTTGATAGCTTACAGTCTCTTTTGACAAAGCTTCCCGGAAAGCAGCAAGTGTAAGCCGCTCGCCATTCACTTCCATCCATCTTTAAGCTTGATAATACCTTATATGCTGGGCAGATTCTGTTTCTAGTAGTTGCTTGTCCGTGTAGCGCTCTCCTTCTTGTTCTTGTTCTAATTCAAATGCGAGCAACTTCGCACCTTCTCCCTACGGTCGAACATATGATAAACCTTCGGGCTCACTACTTCGTTCCTTCGCTATCGCAAGAATATAGCGATCGAAGACGCTTAGCTGCTTCGCCTAAAGCCGTATTACCAGAAGGGGGCATGCTGAGCGTGGGTGAGTGGTAAGCGTAGGAGGCGCGCCCGAAGGTTAGGCAGCAACTTGTGCATGCGGCAGTTCATTGAGATCATAAATTGGTCGTGCAATGTTGGCGAACTAGTGTTTGATTGTTGCCAATGTTGTTGTTCATTGTTGTATTGGTGCAACATAATAAAAGTTTCTAACTTTGTCTCGGCTTTCTGGATTGTGGTGCGCAGATCAGAGAAAGAGATGAACCGTCGCAGGGACATGATTGGGAACCTTAGGACGAAAGCCAACCAGATGGCTTCCTCGTTGAACATGACAAGCTTTGCCAACAGGGATAGTTTGTTAGGCACTGAAATTAAGCAATCTGATATCATGAGTCGAACAACTGGTTTGGACAACCATGGCCTTGTAACTTTTCAGCGGCAAGTTATGAGAGGTAATGTTGTTATTAATTATCATCAGTTTCGTTTAGGGTGTCACTTCAAATTTCCTTGCTTATAGTACTTGCTGCTTTTAGAATTCTAACGGAAATGTATCCTTGAAACAGAGCAAGATGAGGGCCTTGAGAAGTTGGAGGAGACGGTAATCAGTACAAAACATATCGCCTTGGCAGTCAATGAGGAACTGGATCTTCACACCAGACTTATTGTATGCCCCTCTTATTTCTTGCACTCACTATTTGTATTTTCAAATTATTATGCCCTAGGCTTACAACCAAAATGAAGGAGAACCTGCGTGTTAGTCTGGAAGAATCATAAATTTTCCTGTGACTTGCAGGATGACTTGGATGAGCATGTGGATGTGACAGACTCCCGCTTACGGGTAAGCAAGCTCATGTCTTTGGTTGTCTTTCATTAGGAACTTTTCTATGACTTATTACCGACTGACCACCCATACCCCATGTTTACATCTGGAGTTATGTGGCATGGTTATAGCTTAGTTTATATATGGTTTGTGCCAGAAATAACTGACCCTTGAAAATGTTGTTTCATTTTGTACGTAAAGATGAATATGTGCATGAAGCCCTGCTATCTTTTTAGTCTCACTGATCCCAGTAGTGCCTTTTTGTCATTGCTTTTCGTTCTTGTTGAATCTTTTTAAAGGCTTCTTCTGCTTCTAAAATTTTCTATTTGTGGTAGAACTCTTAAGACTCTAGATTTGGTGTCCTTCTGGTAAAAAGAAAAAAAAAGATTCGCTGCCCTAAATGTATTAGCACCAAAGTAATGTTGATACCCCTAGAGTAGCTAATTCAGACATACCAGCAGCAGCTGCAATTTATCCTACTGTTTCGCATAACCCGGAAGTGTTTCTAGGATAGCTCCCCGAGAATTGTTGAAAGAATTCTGATTTATATTCTCCATTTTCTTGAAAATACAGCGAGTGCAGAAGCAATTGGGAGTATTGAACAAGCGAACCAAGGGTGGTTGCACCTGCCTGTGCATGCTTATGGCTGTAATTGGGATCGTAGCTCTGGTTGTGGTCATATATATGCTGATCAAGTACTTATGATCCTGAGTGTCGTACCTGAAGCCCCTCATTTCAGTTTATCTGCCTTAATTCTGCCTGCCTGCTGCTCTGCTCATTCTGCAACAAGTCGCTCTTCCCTCCTCTTTTGCTTTACCTTTTCCCTGTCGCTTGTTTTGAGAACCATTGTGTTTGGAGATTTTCTGCTTCCGTTCCATATGGTGGTGCGATGTTGAGGTGGCAGAAATTGTAATACGAAAAATGTCGGGAACCAACTCTGTAAATAATCCCCCAACTGATTTGGCCTGCGTGTCATTCGTCTGTTTGATCAACCAAAGCCGAAAATTACACATTTTAATGTGATGTATGGTTGTGCACTGCCCTTCATTAACATTTTGCACTGCCCATTGTCGACATTGAGTAATTGATCACTGATGTTCTGACTGTCAAGAATATGTCTTCCAAATGCGCTTTTATGAAACAACAATGGTCGTCTCCTCTCAAATGTCTTCCACTGCGATTGAGTCTAGACAGTGGTAGACAAAGTCGTTAGGATTAACATGATTTGTCTGTGTATGACCTTACAAAAAAAGGTTAGTTTCATAGCACAATAAATTGTTTGTAGAAATTTGTACCGATTCTTGGATACTGTCCTTGACTTCTTGAGTTCATCCACAATTCGAGATCCGAACGTAACCGAACCTCAACCCCTTTTTAAACCATTATCATGTCGATACTGGAGCTTACTATTATTTGCCAGAGCTTAAATTAAGTAACTAAAAACAAGCATGGAATAGAGAATTAAATTTTACAACTTGAGGAGCTTCACAATCAATACACAGCTGCATTGGAGCAGGAAATCACACCATCTCAATAATGAACCGAAAGAGAGGAGAGGAAGGAAATTGAGAAAAATCAAAGGATCAAAAGAAGAGCTTTCTTGGAGAAGCCGTGCCCGAAGTTGCAGCAGCAGTAGCTTTGAGAGGAAGAGGGTTTTCTTTGCTAGTTTCTTGGTTCCCTGCTGCCATCTTGTCAAGCAGTTTGGCCGCCTTGGGATCTGTTAGAAGCGTCTTCTGAAACGACTGTGAGAATCCAGTTGCAATGATGGTCACATGAATCTCTCCATTAAAGCGTTCGTCAACCACTGCGCCGAATATTATATTTGCAGATGGATCCGCCAAACTTGTCACCACCTGGGAAATTCAGAGTTGAGATATGAGCAAAACCACTAAAGTTGGAAGGGAAAGCAGCAGCAAGAGGGGGTACATACCTGCGATACTCTGTTCACTTCTTGCAGCGTTATGTCCTTTCCACCAGTTATATTGTAAACAACTCCAGTAGCCGATTGGATGGACGATCCCAACAGAGGAGCCAGAGTTGCCTGCTCAGCTGCTTCTTCTGCTCGGTTTTTCCCAGAGGAAGCCCCAACTCCAAGCATTGCAGTTCCAGAATCTTTCATTACTGCCTTTACATCAGCAAAGTCAACATTCACCAGCCCAGGTATCTGCAAGAACAGAAAGAATTAGAAAAACTTAACTTGCTATTTTTGGGTCCCTCGATCAAACCACTACTACAGACCCCATCAGCAGTAATTGTAAACCAGTGGTTTCCTAAAATATATCAGTATAAACTCTTGGCTCTAGATAGACCATGGTACTGTGCAGAAGCGTATTTAAAAAAGCTAATATCCATACAGGGACTAGCGAGGGAACATGTCCTCAGTTTAATGTTCAATAACTCGGCATTGTGATTATAATCAAGAAATGTACAGCATGAGATGTTAGATCAGGTGGCAACAGCCCTTTGTTCACTGCTGTTTCCAGTTTACAACCCAATAATATAATACAACTAGAAATTCACACAAGGAATGAAACGTGTTTAGTTCCTTATTATCTCTTTGCTGATAACTGAAGAAAGCCTTAAGATGGGGGAAAAACTCACAGTGATAATATCAGAGATTCCTTGAACGCCTTGGCGTAAGACATCATCAGCAAGAAGGAAAGCATCCTGAAGTGCAGTCTGCTCATCAGCTATGTCAAGCAAGCGGTCATTTGGTATCACTATCAGCGTATCAACATTCTTCTGTAATTTTTCTAGAGCTTCCACTGCCTGCAAGTGCCAATTCAACATTGCCACTATGATTGCATTAAAACAGGAGGAATACCTCCATCACTCAACAATCATGTTGAAGACTTCATCGAGATGATAAACGCAGGAAAAATAAATAGAACTTGCCTGCAAAGATCTTTTCCGGCCTTCAAAACTAAAAGGGTATGTGACTACACCAACAGTGAGATAGCCTGCCTCCTTTGATATCTGAGCCACAACAGGAGCAGCACCAGATCCTGTGCCACCACCCATACCAGCTGTTATGAACACAAGATCAGACCCTTTCAAAGCATCGGCTATAGCTTCTTTCGATTCCTCTGCAGCCTGCTCTCCCAAGAGGGGATTCCCACCAGTACCTGCAAGCACCTCCAGAATCAACTCAAAGAAGCATACACAAAACAATCACTTTTAAAACAAGGAAGACGACTCAGATATCCACATATATACATAATAGCAAGTGCCAAACCTAATCCACGAGTCAAAAGCTCTCCAATTTGGATTGGGTTCTCGGCCGCAGATTGCAACAGTGCTTGAGAATCTGTGTTTATCGCATAGAAATCGACCCCCTGAATTCAAAAATCAAAACAAAAGCTTCATCAGCTATGAATCCCTTCCAACCAAACAAGAAGCTGCCACAATGCAAACTTGATGGATGAACAAGTATATGATCAGTTGGTCACAATCTGCTTGCTCAATTATCGTCGTTACATCTCAAAACTACATTCATTGGAAAAGAAGAAACTTTCCAAGTGTAAGTTAACAGAAAAGAGCTTGCGGAGCAATGCATAATTGGAAATGATACAGCAGATGAAGCGTCCGAATTCCCACAGAAAATTACCCATTAACCCAACGAACTCCAAGGGCCAAAAGATAGCAAATCTATGAGTCGGCGTTTAATCTCATTCAACGTAAAGGGGAAAAAAAGTGAACTGGGACCAAAATTGAGAAGCGAATTACCTGCAAGCCGCTGCCAATCATGCGATTAATAGCATTGTTTCCGCCACCGCCGACGCCCACTACCTTAATCTTGGCATTCTCCATTTGAGAAAAGGAGCAGCTCACATTCCCATATCCCGAACTCCTTGACCTGTACGTGGTACTTCCCCTCCGCTTACTTCTATGCGCAGAGCATAGCCTCTGCGGAGGCAGGCACACGGCAGAGAAGGATGAAGAAGAGGAGTTGGGTTTCGCCAGCTGAAGCTGTGGCTGAAACTGAAGTGTCGCCATTTCTCACTGGTTATCGGACTGTGTGGGCACTTGTCGCGTTGAGTGAGGGAGACGCGAGGGAGAAAAAGAAGGTTTTTAGGGTTTTAGAAGACACAGTTCAGCTCCAACAAAGTCAGTTGGATTTTCCCAAACAATTTCTTCATTACTTCCATTTTCCTATCACTTTCTGGTTGAAAACCATCCGATATTGTCTCTCACTCTCTCCGAAAGATTGGTGGGACCCACCTCTTACTGTGCCTTACATATTTGATATTACATATTGCTTAATACGGCATCGTGGAAGTGCTGCAAAATCAAAGACACCGGATATCGTGGAACCGAGAACTGCAAAATCAAAGACCGAAACAGTCTTGTTTGCAGGTTAGGTTCGTTTTGTTGAGATCGACAACCCAAATATAAGATAAACACAGAAGTTTTGTTTTCAATCAACTACAAACTTGCCAGTGATAGGAGCGTTTTGTTCAAACAAGGATTGAAGAGATCAATCCATGGTCCATCGAGAGCCACGGGAGCAGTTCCTGTAAGTAACCTACCGGTCAGTAACGGTGAGTAACCGCTCCATCCGCCGTCCATTGCAATCCATTATTAACCTTCAGATGTAGAATAATAAATACACGTAGGGGTAAAATAGTAACTGACCTTTTGACAATTTGAAAAAGGTAACTGACACTTCCCCGCCATCATTATCACCAACTCTCCAAAAACAGAAAATTCACAGACGGTTCGAGTTCTATCTCTGCTTTTTTGCTCTGCATTCACGCTATCCATTCTCTCACTCTCTCTCTCTCTCTCTCGCGTTTCATCTTCGCAAACTGCACCGTCGAAGTCGAATCTCGAATTTTCAGTTCGCTTAGCAAAGGATACCGATCTCAGTTATTCAGCGATCAAGTGAGGGTTTCCACTTCGACGCCTTCAGTGATCAAGTGAGGGTTTCCACTTCGACGTCTTCAGCAACAAAATTAGGGTTTCCAACTTAGACACGATCAAGGTAAATCATCACTTCTTTCTTCAAAAACTAGATTCGTGATTCTGAATGTCTAATTTCAAGTACATACTTCACAAAATACCAAACGAAAAACTCTACTATGCTTGATGTTTTCACAATACCACACTGGTACCATGTGGTATTCTAAGGGGAAAAAGTTCTAGCAGTGGTAAAAGTACTTACAGTGAAATACATTTTATAGAAACATGTATAAACGACAACAAAACCTATTCCATACTCTGATTTTTTTACAATACCATAGTATACCATATGGTATAACATGGTATAAACACTGGTACCATATGCTATTATAAGGAGAAACCGTTCCAATAGTGGTAAAAGTACTTACAGTGAAATACATTTTATAGAAACGTGTATAAACGAAAACAAAACCTATTCCATACTCTGATTTTTTTACAATACCATAGTATACCATATGGTATAAACACTGGTACCATATGGTATTATAAGGAGAAACCGTTCCAGTAGTGGTCAAAGTAAGAATGAAAAAGATTTTATAGGAAAAGTATAAAAACCTATTATATGCTCTGATTTTCTTACAATACCACACTGGTACCATATGGTATTCTAAGGAGAAACCACACACGTACTGGTCAAAGCCACTACCTCAATTATTCATTTGCTTACTGATAGAATATGGTATAGTATGGTATGCTATGGTATGGTAGTTGGTGTTTTTGCTTACTGGTAGAATATGGTATGCTATGGTATGTTATAGCAATTCTTCTATTCTGGATGCAGGTACATCATGTCGAGACATAGGGAGAATTTTCGAACAAGGTGCAGCCCAACAAGAATCAACGCACTTTCAAGAACATTAACACCTGAACAGAGGGCAAAATTGCAGGAATTAGGCCTTGATGGCTTAACATCCATCCAGCAAACAAAGATAAACAAGAACTTTGCTCTATTCACAATGAATAAGTACAATCCGATAAAGAAAGCATTCAAGCTGCCTGGTGGAAACTACATGAAGATATCACCAATTGACTTTCATAGAGTTTATGGTCTACCAATGGGTAAAAAGGAAGTGACGCTGAAGAAATTATCAGTGGAAGAAGCAGTAGACTATGCGTTGCAGGTCCTACTAGAACTAGAAGCTCCAGCTACAAATGGAAGGGTGAAATTAGCTAATGTAGAGCATGACATTTCTAATGCTCATACCATTGAAATATGGATCAAGCTGTTCTGGATTCTGGTTACGGGAGCTCTACTGTCCCCATATTCAAACCTTACTGCTGAGTTGAATGTGCTGGAGTACTTGCAGCCAGACAAAATCAACCATTTCAAAGAATACAATTGGTGCAAGTTCTTCTTCGACTATATGAATGACGGGTTGGATTCAAAAAACCTGTCCATCAATGCAGATCTTCATTTCTTAACAGTAAGTATCTATACCCTCAATAAATTCATTTTCAATTAGTATAACCTAAAATCTTTACAAATCCTAGTATATCAATACTAATACAACTGTTTCTCCTTCCCACAAACAAATAAAAGGTATGCTTCATGTACAAGTTGGATGAAATGGCCTTCTCCACCCAGTTGCAAACCCCAACAACAAACTACTATGATGACACTACTGCGCAAAGAAACTATGAAAACATAGTGAGTTACTATGGTGGAGAAGAACTTCATAAGCTCATGAAGATACAGGATAAAGAAGAGATCGTTGACATCAATAGTGATGATGATGATGACAACAACACAGACCAACAACCATCAGCATCACTCATATTTGATTTGAAGATGATCAAGACTATCCCCCAAGTAAGTATAAATTACCATATGTTACAAATTGTGCAATTCATACAACTAAAATACCACACATGAACCATGGTGGTAATGTATGGTATTATACTATATAATGCACGTACCATCCATTACCACCATGGTAATATGTGGTATTCTACTGTAAATATTAACTTACAGACCAAAAATGACTAATGCAGGCTGAGAGAGCACTGAAGCTGGTGAAAACATCAATGAAAGCTATGTTGCAATCAATCAAGGTGCAATACAGAGCTCAAATTGATGAGCTTGTCAAACACAGGGAAATGTTGGAGCAAAGATCTGATGGAAACTTTCATGGTGTTGAAGGAGAAAGATCTGATGACGTGATTGTCGAACAAACTGAAGGAGCTGACTCTGATGATGAAGATAAAGAAGCAGATGCAAACCTGGAAGACACTCTGAAGCATTTTTTTGACAAGCTAAAAACAGAGAAAAGGAAAGAACCCACACTCACTGAATCTGAAGAAAATGATGATTCTCAACAAGCAACAGTGGATCTAGCTGGACCAACACAATGGAAGAAAAGGAAGAATCAAGATGGTTCCCCAACAAAACCAGAAGCTCAACATCAAACAGAGAATCCTGCTGAAACTGCTGAGAAGAATCATCCTGAAACTGCCGAGAAGAACCAAGGAAATTCAGATCCAGAGAATGTAAACCAGGAGGCCAACAAAAAAGGAGATGAAGAAAAGGAAAGTGAAATGCATCAAGATCAGGAAGCAGATGACAGTGAAAAGACACAGTCAGATGTGCTTGTTTCAAAGGAGGGAGAAAAGGAGAAGAACAATGATGAAGAAGCAATACAACCACCACCAAAGACTGCAGGAAAACCCACAGATGCACAAGACAACGACATACCATCTTTTGACCTCAGCCCATTCAATCCACCATCACAAACAGCAAATGTCAACATCACCACAGCAACAGCATCACAACAACCAGAAGAACCGCGCAAAAGAAGGATAGTGCTGAAGAATGTGCGTGGACCAGAGAAGAAAGCAAAAACATCAACCCCTCCACAAGAAAAAACAAGCAAACAGTTGGAGAATAAACAATTCATTGAATGGTCAAGCTTGTACTCGAACAGCCAGGAGAGGCTACAGGAGATAAATGCATGCTTGGCTGCTTACATTGATGACCTGAGTACACCAGTTTCACAACCAATGCCAGGAATGAACTCATCAGCAGCAAATGAACCAGTTCAAGCAAAAGATGGTGCCCTAGATGCAATCCCAATTGCAATGATGGTTACACCACCTCAGACAACTCCTGATGAAGTTTTTAATGACATTCTTGAGTACATAAGGTGCAAAGACAACAAAATTGTCTCCGGGTAAGTAAATTTCTTAATAACAATTAATTTCTTAATGACATATGGTATGGTATGGTATGGTATGGTATGGTATGGTATGGTATGGTATGGTATGATATGGTATGGTATGGTATACTATATGGTATAGTATGGTATAATGTTGAACAATACCACATAGTATAATGTGGTATAATATTGACTAACACCACATGGTATAATGTGGTATACTGTTCTGAACAGGGACGAGGTAATGTTCAGAAGAGAGGATGGAACAGGCTTACTCAAAAGGTCATCATTGCAATCTGTTGACATAGATCAACTGATAACAAATGATGTCGTGGACTGGTATGGAGATCTGATGAACAGAGATCAAGCAAAAACAGGAAAAATCTCCAAGTGGTTCTTCTCTAGTCATTTGGCAGTAAGTTTGTCCATATTTTAATGTATTATACTTACCATACTTGAATATATGATTGCTTTAACATAATTTCAAATTTACAGTCTGACTGCAAGCTGGACATAGAAAACAACAATCCTCCACTAAGTCCAGACCAATACTTCGACAAAGTGGACGAATATATTTCTGATAAACCATGGGCAAAAGACCTCAGCTTCCAGAACTGTGACCTTGTAAGTAATACTACAAAAACCATAAATTACCATATGGTATGACATCAAAAAACTATTCCTCAAAACATATTTATAATTGTCCATTAACATTCTCACTTCATTTATATGCAGTGGTTCTTCCCTTACTGTGATGGTGAACACTACATCATGATCTGTGTCAACATCAAGAACACAAGATTTGATGTGCTTGACAGTCTCCGCTACAAAGACTTCGACAAGACTTACAAACCAGTGGCAGAAAGAGTTGTCAAGTATGCAATCAACTACATGAGTGTGCACTGTTGGAACAGACAAATCCTCTGGGAGAAGTTTGACTGGTTCAATCTGGGGAAGATTACACAGCCAGATAAACGCTCATGTGGATTGTACATAATCAGATGGATGCGCCACTGGGAAGGAAAGTACAA